AGAAGAACATCGAGTTTGCTTTTCTTTAAACCACGAAGACACTTTTAAAAACGACAGAAAAGTAAAGTCACGTCTCTCCCTCCTCCCGCTTCTCATTCATTACGCCTCAGCAATAAGTGTTGCTCAGAAGTTTGGCGTGTGGCCTTTCCAAGCATTTAGTGAACACTTTTACAACTCTTAGGGAATGGTTGATTTAGGGAATATAAAAAAACATATATATATATACACATAGTATGCACAGTGCTCTTTATTGCTATTTTCATTAAACACCGTTAAGTGATTGCCCAGTTATTTGCTGAGAACAGAATAGTCATTATGGTCTCATATTTCCGGTAAGCACACTTTATTCTCTAACAGAACCTGTAGCTATAAAATTGGGTTTATAGAGATAATGTTTCTGAAATGATTGCTATTCCCTTTCATGCCTTGTCCATCATGAAATGCTCGGTGTTACCTAAAGATTTGTGGAAATCTTTGATGAAGCTTTCATGAACCAAAACTCCACTTAAATTTATTCTGCTACCTTTGAATGTTAAATCCAGTTGTGATTTAATAGTATAACTAGACCACAGCAGAAGCTAGCTCTTTTGCCACCATATTATAAGCTGGGTTCCTATACTTAATTCTTACTGAGAATTTAATTTATGTCAGATATTGTGATGTTTGCGTACCTTGTCAATCTTTTAACCCTAATGGCAGACCTTTGAGGTGCAGTTATAATTCTCTTTCTGTAAGCGAGGAGGCTGTTTTCTGGGAGGTTAAATTATGTAATACCCTCCTCCTACCTGAAGTTTTACAATGAGGAGTTTTAGATTCTTCGTTTCAAACTTTTGAGAGTTCTTTACTGCTCCATGTTGCTGCTTCTGACCTAGATGACTTTTGAAGTAGGATTGTTCTGCTGGTGTGAGACCTACAGTCTTATCACCTTGCTCAGTCAATCGGTTGTCTGAATTCTGAAGTCAGAGAGATGAGTTGATGGAACCATGTACTACTGCGTACATACTCTGTCCAAATGTGAGAGGAACCCGTGGACCTTGTGCTTTAGCACTAAGCTCCTAATCCAAAGGTCAGCAGTGTAAGCTCACCAGTCTGAAAAGTTCCCTGGGAACCCTACACAGTGACACTCTGCCCTGTAGGATCACTGAGTTGGAATCAACTCCTACAGCAGATTTGGTTTGGTATCCAAATGGGAGACATAACTAGGTGATAAAAGTTAACAAAGAAGACTTGCTTTTTTATAATAATTGACTGGTAAACCTTGGTGAGGTTGCTGAAATGTTTCTCAGCACATCACCCTCAGTCCTCACTGTGTAATTTCAGGACCTAGTAAAAGGAACCATTGTAATTATTGGCTCAGGCATTAGTGGTTTCTAACCTTTTTACAACTAAGGACCCAATTTATTTTTCCTCTCATTTGAATTTCTATTTTGAATATCTCTGATTTTTTTCCATTAATAAGTGATTTTTATTAGAGAGATAAAGTGGAACATTGACTTTTTGATAAAGAGAATACTTGAATATTCATGTGGTAAGATTCACATGAATCTAAGTAATGAAAGTTTTTTATTAGGCTATAAAAACTTTATGGTTATAGGATTACCTATAGGCATTTTGAAATATTAAAAATAACTTCCTCATTCTAGCTATGGGTTCCCTCTTGGGAATCACTGCTTTAGCCTTGAAGATAGTCCTATATGTATTTTTTTGTGTGTAGTGGTACATGGGTAAGGGGGATTGAATTGGGAAAGGAATTGCTGTTTCTGTATAAAATTTCCCCTGTAGTTCCGGTCTCATGATTTGAATACATACTGTGTCTCAGAAATACCTGGAAGTCTTTGGAGTTAGCGTCCTTTTCCTAGGTATACTTCGGCAGCACAGTGAATTATTTAATCTGGCTCTTAGTAATTCACAGTCTTCGTAACTTCCACCAAAGGGTTAGGCAAATGTGAGGTGATTGTGGCCTGCAAAGGGGATTGGATCCCTTGGTCCTTATGCTGGGACAGGAGACAGAACTGTGCTATTGGAGACTGAGAGACCACAAGAAGAAAAATGGCAGCAGTAGAGGCATAGCAACAGCAGAACCAGGAAACCAATAGGAGACATTGGCTTGGGCTTCCTGACCTGACCCATGATACAAGAATGCTTTGGCCAGGAGGTTTGTCTGCAGGGTGGGAGGTCTCTGAGCATTTGTCAGGGGAGCAGTGTTAGCTGACCCATCAAGCTGGAGTTGAGCACCTCAGGGCTGAGGCTGACTGGCAGAGTGGGATGCCTTTGGGCACCTATCAGCAGAGCTAAAAGAGCATTGTGATACTTGTCAGCAGGGCAGAGACCAGGGTAAGAGGCTGAGGGCAAGAGAGGCCTCTTTGTGAGGATGTATGGCTGAGAAGAGGTTGTCTTGATTGAAAACCCTTCTGAGCATTCTTGAAACTGAATTGTAACATCACTTCCCTAATAAGCTCCATAACTTGAACATCCTCTGTCAGTTCTTTGTGGCCCTTCTAATGAGTTATTGAACCAGTAGAAAAGTATAGAATGCTGTGGGAGGGATGTTTGGTGTCAAATTGGTAAAAAAGGTTGAAGGGTAGAGGTGTGTTTGAATCGCCCATCTATTAGGAATCAGCGCTGGGCTGGTAATTTTCTTCCCCCTTTATGAAGTTGGAGGCGATTACATGCAACTCCTGTGTAGTTTTACAACATGTGTGGCTTCGTGGTTCTGCGCTGACCTGGTAGCGCAGGGTCAGCAGTTTGAACCCATCAGCTCCTCTGCAGAGGAGAAATGAGGCTATTTGTTCTTGTAAAGATTTATAGTCTCAGAAACCCAAAGGGGGGGAGTTCTACTCTGTTTTGTAGGGTTTCTATGAGTTGAAATCCATTCAATGGCAGTGTTTTGTTGCAGTGGAAGATAATGGAATATGCCAAGCAGTGGCTATTCGTGTCCTCTTTCTGCATGAATACTTTCTTAGAAGGATCAGGACAAGGCTGTTCCCTCTGAGGTGGTGGTAAAAAAATCTCCCCCAAATAACCAGTTTTTCTAACTGCTCTATTCCATTAACTTTGATATCAACAACTATTCCTCTCCTGAATATTCTCTCTCCCTCCTTAAGGTCCATCATTTACCACAATGTCTCAAAGAGCTCATGCATTGTCAAGGAAATCACTCATGTTGTAGAGGCTGGCAAGTGGTCAGTCTGTGGGTCAGGTGGTGTTAGTATGGAGGATTCTCCTCACTCACATGGTTGTAGGGACGGATGGACCCTAATTGGCAGGTACTACGACAGGTTGCTGACTCCCAATGCTGTGGAAACTGGCCAGTTAAGCTGGATGATACTTGTTCAGATGAAAAAATTATTGAGATCACAATTCAATTTTAAAACAATGTTGGAAGTTCAGATTTATTGATGTGGACATTTTGAAGTAGTTAACCAACTACTTATTAACTCAAAGTTGAAATGCTAAAAGACATAGAAAGAAGTAACCTGATTTGTCTTGTTTTAGGTGAAGGGAGAAGATGAGGAAGAAAACAACCTAGAAGTACGAGAAACCAAACTTAAAGGTAAAAGGTAAGCTTATAAGCATTCAGGATATAATTTAAACTTCCCTCACTTTTGACTATTTTTTTTATATTACCAGGGGTGAAATATAAAGCTAGGAAAAGTTGTTTAGTACTTAACAAGTTACCTTCAAGTTGATTTTAACTTAGGGTGACCCCAAGCAAGGTAACCTGCAAACAGCTAATGATAGCTCACAGTGAGGCTGGAGCGTTCAGTCCATGCAGAGATGCCTTGGAAGAAAGGCCTGACTATCTATTTCCAATTAATAAGACTTTTAATATCTTCTGGAATACTATTCCACTCTGACATATGACAACCCTTGGTATTGCTGGTTGTCATGAGTTATAGTCAGTTGAATGACAACTGGTTTCACTTGTGAAATCTTTTATAAATTCCCCGCCCTCCCCCACCATATATATTTTCCATTGTTTCTTTTTGGTCCTCATAATTGTCTTTCCTGTGTTTAATCCTCTTTGAGTTGCTTTTCATGCACAAAAGTGTTGTCTTCTATGGAGCCAAAGTTTAATGCATGGTGATTACCATGATTTTTTAAATTGTAGCATCTGTTTGCATGAAATAGTTGTGTCACTGGCCTCAGTGTTATCAGCTATTATAGTTAGCTTTAAATAAGTTATTATTAAAATTCCCGTCCCTATAAGAATAGACCCTACTTTCCTGTGTTTCTCTTGCTTGATGGCCTGCAGTGCATATCCTGGAAAGGCAGTTTTCAGCTTTTACTGCCTAGGCTCTACTCTTGTCTCGGTTACTACTTATTAGCTATGTGTCCTTGGGGAAATTGCTTATCATTTCTGTTGCACAGTTTACTCTGCAGTAAAATAAGTGTGTCTACATCCTTTGATCCTGATTAAGATCCACAAAGTTAATACATATAATGTGCATAATGTACTTAGAGTAAGACCTGCTACTTTTGGTAAATCTTGAAACAAAGAGTTAGCTAAGGAGAATGAGCGTTCAGATCAAGGGAGAGGGAATCGTGTAAAAACTTGAAAGCTTGACGTTTATTTCATGGAGTGTTCAGTTAACTGGACCTTCAGAGGAAGTGGAATATGGTCAAAGGAGAGTTGAAATCAGTTTGAAGAGAGCCTGATGTGCCATTCTTAGCATTCTTAGAGTACACAGTTTATGCTGTAGTCAGTTGATAGCATTTAAGGCCCCCCACCTTTTTAAACAGACTATTTTTAGCTCAGTACAGATATTACATAAATTTGTATTAAGTAGCAGAGTAGGGAAACTGACGTGTTCCCAAGAATCTGAGGAAATACATAAGTAATTGCTTTAGTTGACCCAACAAAACCAAATTCTTTTTAAATGGTCTCCCATTGGGGCAGAAAAAATGTGCCCAGTAAACACAAATTGCACAAGTGGTGTGGGGCATCATCAGGCCTTCTTGTCTCACTTTAGGGGAGGCCAATGACCCAGCAACATCAACCCAAGATGTAGCCCTATGAGAGAGACCAGACATGCCTTCCTGCCCCAACCTTTTACTGATTCTGACACGGCTGTCCCTCTAACAGCATTCTCTCCTTCTCTCAGGTGTCATAATCTGTTGCAGTGGCTATACAAACTCAACAGATTATGTTTACAATATGGGATTTACAAGTAACAATGCAGAATCAGAAATGTTCTTTGGTTAGGACTGCTTTTTGGCCATGCCCATAGGCAGGCTCACTTGCCATCATGTCTCTCTCCTGGTTCGGCTTCAGCTGTTTCTCTGCTGCTACTTGCTCTCTCATGTCATTTGTGATGTTACAGCGCTCGCTGTCACTTAGAATAGGAGGTTCTCAGTGCAGGACCCTGGGTACCAAGGATGTGCTTCACTCCTGGATCTTCTTTCTTGATTGTAATGAAGTTCCCCCATACTTAAGGTGACCAGGCGTCCCGCTTTTGGCGTTTTAAAAAAGTCCCGATTTTTGGAAAGAATGCACGACAGGCTAAGGAACGGTCTAGTTGGTCCATATAGACCAAATTTTTAATCGAGGACACACACCCCACCCCCCACCCCTGGTCAATGGTGTCTTGTTTTAAATCTGGTCACCTTACCCTTACTCCCTGTTCAGGATTGGCTCTTTTTTTAAGCCTAATGGGATGACAAAACGGACTTAATTCCCCATGTTTGGGGTCTGTACATCTTATTTACATGGTAAGGATTCTGTGTACCTTATTTGTATTATTAGTAGGTGGTTCAATCCCCTTGGTGGGCCACACACGCTTCATTTACCTTAGTTTCACCCAATCATGTATGGGAGTCACAAAGACTTTATGACTAGAAAGGTCTTATCAATTCACTGCCCTGCAGTAGTAAAGTCAATTCTGTGTTACCTGTTCTACTAATTGTCAGTTGGAAACCATCACTTGCTGGCAAGTAAGCATTTCAACAAGAATTGATGTTCATGGTAGCCCTGGACCTCTGCAAAGTTCTGAATTGTTTTCTGAATGCTCAACCAAAAAACCGAACACAATTGAGATGATTCTGACTCAGTAATAACGTAGGATAGAGCAGAACTACCCGTGTGTTTCCAAGACTAACTCTTTACAGGAGTAGAAAGCTTTTTTCTCTCGAGGAGTAGCTGGTGGTTTTGAACTGTTGACCTTCTGGTTAGCAGCCCCATGGCTTAATGATCAAGATTTAGTTGTGTTGGGAGCATTTGCAAACTTTAAAGATTAAGATGGGGATCACACCATAAGATATGTTGTTTTACTTGACAATAGAATGAAGACTGGGCTGGAGGGGGACAGAGATTAATAGATTAATTTGAAAGAGATGCACTAATCCTGACACACATAATGATGGAAATCAAGGAAGGGATGGGTTTGAGAGGTCTTTCTAAGATAAGAGTGGCCAGATATTAGGGTTAGGGAAATTTCTGGATTAAAGTGGGTTAGATGGTATTAGTGGGTTAGATGGTAGCAGTATAAACAGAGGTGTGGGATTATGGATGAGCTTCATACTGGATATATTGATTTCCTTGTGAGGTGGTCAATGGAGCTGTCAGGTAAACATTTAAAGATTTGAGTCTTAGAGTTTAGGATAGAGATTGGGATGAAAAGCAGATTTGGGAACTGCATATATTCATTTGTATAATTAAGGTAATTTGATGCATGAAATCCAAGATAGATAAACCCTGTAGAAATAGTAATGGGAGTAATGATTTCCTGAGGGTATGGAAAAAGGGGTGTGGGGGAACCGATAGCAATGACTATAATCTCACTTGAGGGGAATGAATAACAGAATTGTAGATGAATGGATAGATGGTGTAAAACACTGCAAAATAAAATAATATGTAATATATTACTAAGGGTTCTTGGAGGGTCGGGTGGAGGAGGGAGAGGATAAAGGGGAATTGATATCAAAGAGTTCAAGAAGAAAGAAATGTTTTGAAACTAATGGTGGCAGCAATTGTATAATTATTCTTGATCTAATTGAATTATGGATTGTTATTAATATCTGAACGAGCTTCCAATAAAATGATTTTTAAGAAGTAAAGGATCTATGTTAGGATGTTAATATTTTAAGGAATTTATTTTTAAAGTATTTAAACTATTTAAAAAAATTTTAAACTTAAAAAAAAGAAAGGTAGACTTGGGATTTGACGCCACAGAAGTAGATAAGACTGCCCTGGGAGAAGGCATCCTGTTAGATACTGTCGAGTTGATTTTGGCTCATTGTGACACTGTGTGCAGAATAGAACTGCCCCATCGGGTTTTCTTTGTGAGAGCAGATGGCCAGCCTTCCACCCTGGAACTACTGGGAGGTTTTTAACTGAGGGCACTAGCATGCTACCACGGCTTCTCAGCAGAAGTTATGGTTTTATTATATTTAGAGTAGTGGACTTTCGAATAGCGCTATAAAGTGTGATGAAGTGAGTGATGAAGTCATGTCATGCAAGTACCTTGTGAAGTCCTATCAGGACCACGGAATCCTGCTACAATACCTTAGTGTACCAGTAGTGGTTTCTGGCTCTACCAAAATTGGTCTCCTAGCTTAGAAAACCCTTGAGTGTGATATAGTTTCTTTGTAAAACAAATTGGAAAACCAACTAAAAAACCCCCAAACAATAAAATTAAGCTTTCTTTCTAATTTGAGGACTATTGAATATTTATTGAAATATTTTTCTTCATATGTAGTTGCATTTTCATATATTTTAAAATGGAATGAAAAATGGAATTATACTGTGTCGTTTGTGGGTTTCCATGGTCTTGTACATCTTTCTGTATTACTATGTGTAGATTCAAGCGTCTTCAGTGGCTGCTAATATTTTATTGTGTTATTCTAACACATTGTTTAAACTGGTATCTTATTGTTGACATTTAGGTTGTTATACTCTTTACTAGTACAGACAACCATGAGACGAACCTCTAGATGCTTATCTTAAAAGGTGTAATAGATTAAAGTTGATCTCTTAAAGGTAACTGTTTTCATCTTGGTTGCCAAATTTTGCTTTGACTTAACTGATAACTCTGTTTTTAATTTCCTTAATTTCTCTGTTCTCTCGCCCCGTTCTTTCAGTGGGAGATTCTTCGTGGTCAAGCTCCCGTTTGCTCTTGATCCTGGGGCTAAGATTTCAGTTATTGTGGAAACAGTCTACACCCATGTCCTTCAGCCATATCCAACACAGATCACCCAGTCAGAGAAGCAGTTTGTAGTATTTGAGGGGAACCATTATTTCTATTCTCCCTATCCTACAAAGACACAAACCATGCGTGTGAAGCTTGCCTCCCGAAACGTGGAGAGCTACACTAAACTGGGAAACCCCACACGCTCAGAAGACCTCCTGGATTATGGGCCTTTCAGAGACATCCCTGCCTACAGTCAGGTAGGCTTGTGCATCCATCCCTGTGCGCTTCAAAGAATGTCTGGTGGCGAGACTCTTCGTTGATAGGCTGGGGTAGTGTGGGCTGGTAGAAACGTAAAGTCATTGTCAGGATCATCATCAAAATTTTTAACCTGGTGTGAAATGACTCAAAAGGTTTACATTCTCCTATTGGAAGTGCTGTGAGGCTGACGGGAGAGTTGAAGAAGACTTTTTGGAAAATTGTGAAGCATTTGGGGTGGTAGTTGGTAGAAGGGGAAGCGAGGCATTCTGGGCAGAGGAAAGGGCCAAGGACCTAGAGACTAGGGCAACATGTACTGTTGGGTGCGGGGGTAAGTAAGCTGGGGTTAGCTGGGGTTAGAGCTGAGTGAGCTGCTGAGGACATTGAATGCCGTACTTGGGAGTTGGGACTTAAAACAGTAGAAGCAATTTTAACTCAAATTTTCTTTATTGAAGAGTTTAAAGATAAGTAAAAGTGGAATAATATAAGCATGCATTTGTCCATCACTTTGAGGTTTTTGAGATAAAACCCCATTTGCTGCAGCTATCCTTTTTTATTTTTCTTGGCTGGAATTTTTAAAGCAAACCTTGGAACTCCGTCCTTTCACCTAGGTACTTCAATATTACCTAAGATGAGGTTCCCCTTTCCCATCCCTGTATGTGCTTAGAATATATAATGAAGCTTGTGGAAAAATGGAATCAAAAGATAATGGATTTTTCACATGAGCTTTTGGAAGCCCCTTTGTCGCTAAGAATGTATAGTCAAATGCTGTGTTCTAGTGTCACTTGAAATGTTTGTTTTCTCGTGTCAGTGCTCAGGATTTCTT